CCCCATCATTTCCTGGCTGAGTTCTGCGCCTGTTTCTATGAGGAAGTTCTGTTAGCAGCAGAAAAGCAGACCGTGGATCACTCAGGTTGACTTTGAGCTAAAGCTCGCAGCTAACGGCACCACTCCAGGCTCTTTGGCTGCACGCCATCGCTAACAGGTTGGCTAACAGCAAGCGGCTAATGCTGGATGTCTGCGCCTGCCCTGGCCTGACTCCAGAGCTAACAGGTGAGCTCAGTCATCCCAAAGACAGATAGTCTTCAACTGGTTGGCTGCCTGGCTGGCGTTAAAGAGCATCAACTAACTAGATGGAGGGTCTGCATCCTTTTGGATCCAAAGAGCTATTTCTACCCTTCACTTACAAAACAAAACGTGTCTAGAGTCGCAAAACCTGCTACAGCAGTGATCGTCAACTCGTGGCTCATGGGCCACTTCAAATTTGAATTTTTTTTTTTTTTTCTTCCTGCCATTGGGGGTGACATTATAAAACAAAGTTATGTAATAAATTTTAACATTTAATATGTTTACCTTTTAGGGCTAAAGAAAAGTCAAAATTCATGCAAATAAGGGGAAAAAATGCATACCAATTTTACTAAATAAAATTTAACTCTGAAATCTGCAGGTTTTTGAGTCTTCCTTTTAATTAAAAAAATAATAATCTCACTTTAAAGTAATAAATCATACATTTAAAGTGTGTTAATTTTAGGCCATTTTGTCGGATATGTCAATGTGAGGGCAGCACGGTGGCGCAACTGGTAGAGCTGCTGCCTCTCAGCAAGCAGGTCCCTGGTTCAAATCCTGGTCCGGGGGCCTTTTGGGGTGGAGTTTGTATGTTCTCTCCGTGCATGCGTGGGTTTTCTCCGGGTACTCCGGTTTCCTCCCACAGACCAAAAACATGCATGTTAGGCTGATTGGTAACTCTAAATTGTCCCTAGGTGTGAGTGAGAGACTGAATGGTTGTTTGTCTCTATGTGGCCCTGTGATGGACTTGAGACCCGTCCAGGGTGTCCCCCGCCCCTCGCACAGTGATTGCTGGACATGGGCACCGGTGACCCCCGTGACCCAAAATGGAAGAAGCAGGTAAAATATAATGGATGGATGTCAATGGGACTTATAATATTTTTAATTGCAAAACAACTTTTGCATTTACTTTAATTGGTCTGTCTGTTTGTCTTTTATTCACCATATTTCTTCTAGGCAACTTGTCCTAAAGGTATTCTAAAGAATTTCTGGTGGATTTGAGAGAACAATTCCACTTTAAGGCCGGATGTTGTGTAAATGAACTAGCTAAAGCTAATCGTCTTTATTTTCTCTAATTTCATTTAAACATTTGCAGAAAAACTTCTAAAACTTGCCATTTCTATTTACTGTGGGTATAAAAAACAATGACTTTACATTTTGCATTATGTTCAGTCATAGCTTCAAGGAGCCGCAGACCAAGAACCAAAGAGCCACATGTGGCCCCAGAGCCGCAGGTTGCAGCCCCCTGAACTAGATGGAGAAGTAAGCACCTTTGACCTTCAGGTCGAACCTCCAGTGTGAAGCTAGCAAAGCATTTGGAAGTGCAGAAAGTGGAGCTCATGATAAGAGAAATTAATGTTTTATTTCTGTACTATAACATCACCTATATGTGCCCCCTCCCATCAATTGCCTCATCTTTGGCATTTATCTCTATTTGTTCTCCCATGTGTGAATTGTGAGCCTGCTGGTCTGCATGCAGCTCTTTGAAGACAAAGTCCCTGTTTACAGAGCCCATAAAGATTAGCCTCTCTCGGTCAGGTGGGTTTTGGAGCCATAGGTAAACACACAGCGCATTCCGCACCGGTGAGATCGCCGCATATGTGTGTATGACCGGGGCAAACACACACTCCTGCCTTCACCCCGACCCCCTTTCTTTTAGACTGCAGTAAGTGATTTACCAGCCTGCAGACTGCAGCGCCGTCGGTTAAAATTACTGGAGACTGATACAAAGATACACACAAATATTTGTAGAAGGAGCAGACTTCATGCACACCTCATTTATCTGGGCCTAAAATCACGGGTCAAACATTCTTAAAGGGATAGCTCGGTTATTTGCAGTGGAGCGCCGTGGAAAGGTTGCGAACAATTAATATCTTATCTGTTGTAGATAGCTTTGAGATAACCTCAGTTTGGGAAACAAAGAAGGTAATTCTGAGGATACTGATGAACTAACCCAAGATGCAGAATGATAGATTCCAACCAAAGATGAGGAATACAAAACGGATGCTGCTGTAAATGCCTATAAAATAGTCTTATTTTTATATATATATATATATTTGGAGACTGAAAATAAGAAGGCACCAGTTAAATTTGATATTGGCCACACTCAATCAGGTCAAAGAGAAACAGTTTCTCTAAACTGAGGTAATCCAAGGAGCTATTTACAATAGGTCTGATTAAAAACAGTGTAATCTTTCCATATAAAGCTTTTCTCAAATTATCCAAACTATCCTATTTAATGTAGAAAATGTGCTGTTTTCCTCTGCCTTCTCTTTACCCTGAGAGGTAACCATATGAATATTGCTCAGATTGTATTTAAAATAGAGGGACAGAGGTGAAGAAGAATGCAGGGCAGGGAGGAGAGGAGCAATTGAAAAAAGGCAATGTGTCTTTATTTGGATCTGAAACCAGCCGGAGAGCCTCAGAGCAATTAGCAGCTCAGTCCTACGAGAGCTCTTTATTAGAATGACCTTCACTGTGAAGGTGGGTGGGGGCAGAGAGGTGGAAAGAAAGGCAGAGAGAGGAAGGAAAAATTTGAGGAAAACACAAAATAAAAGGGCCAGTGGGGAAATGGACAAATGACATGAACAAAAAAGAAGAATTCAGTCCAAATGAGCGCACCAAGATTTAATTTTTGGGTTTGAGCGACATGCAAATGATGCAAGGTGGGAGGGGGGTTGTGATCTATTTAGAATTAGCCCTGAACGCTAGAAGTCATGAATCTGCAAACTCAAACACAATTACAAGTTTCTTTCACGTGGGATGGAAGACTTGCATGTGCATGTGAGCGCAGGTGAAGCGAAGTATAATACCCTTCTGTTAATATTGGACACATTCCTTCTATTGCCCCTGAACGCATCGCCAAGTCCTTAAATTTAATTACACGGGACAAATTATATTTTAATAAAGGACAGAACTGAGGAAGAGACAGAAAAGGTGTATGAAGTCTATAAGAAGGTAAATGTGCCACAGTAGCCTCTGGCGGAGAAATAATTCCATTTATGATCAAATTTATAGAACAAGACAGATAAAACGAGCTGATTTAATATTACTTGAAAATGAGCAACAGCAGCATACAATAAGAAAGGGTTACAATGGATAGTTTTTAAATAGTGTTGTTAGAAAAATAAAATAAATAAATATCAAAGTGGACATGATATAATTTTATACATCGGCTTTCAAGTAGGGCACTTTGCATTTCCTAGTTAATTAATAGATTGGATCAGAGCGGGTTTAATCAAATATAATTGAATACGTCCACAGTAAAAAAATATTTAAAAAAAAACAGGACAGACTTTAAAGGAGACATGTAGAGAGAATGATAGCATGTCCAGTTGTCAAATTAATTGAATTTTAGTACTTTTGAACTTGGTCCACGCTGTTTCCGAAGGTAATTAACTGGTTTTCTATCCAAAAGTGCTAAAACACGATGATGTTCCTGCGTGGTGTGTAAGGATGAACGCACAGACTGCGACTTTTTATTTTAGTTTTTAAAGCAAAATAAAAATCAACACTGCTCCGCACCAGCGACAGCATATTTCCAAATTACTGTTAGTTTTTGGGTGTCTTTTTGCTCCTTTATCCTTACTTTTGTCTTAAAGGCCACAACTAAAATATTCATAATTTCTCAGGCAGTTCTCATTGTATTAAAAAATGTCTCTTTTATAATTTATCAGAGAAAGAAAAATCTTTGTTATAGTGACAAGCCCACTAATTAATAGACATGGAAGGAACATTGAGAGTTAGAGTTCATTCTAATTTGGAGCGTGCTAATATTAATAGAATAATTTATGGTGTAGTATAAATAAATTAATAGGGTAATGCGTTTGAAAAAGAGATGCCTTCGGTTCAATTTAGGAGAAAACAGCAAAAAGGAAATGTCTGGCTTTTGGACAAGGACATTAATAACAGAGTTCTTTCAGCAGAACAAAAAAGGAAGAGACAAACTAAACACGGAGTGTTCACTTTTAAAATGCATCAATATTTCAGTTTGCCGATAAAAATTGGATGAGCAACACTTGTATTTCCCGCCTTTTGTATTTTTATTTGCAGTTAAAGGACTTGTTTAGTGGGAGATTTGTGCCGCATCTGCAAGATGTTGCTATGTATAGTTAAATTTTTTATTATTTAAATGAACTATTCTTATTGACTTTATGTAAACAAAGGGCTGTGTTTCAGGCGCAGGGATAAAGGAAGAGAGACTGAATCATTACCATCCTTATTACCCCTCATTAAAACACACCCATTAGAAAGACGTTTCTGTGTGTGCGCGCGCGCTTGCACGCATGTGACGGAGCATGTGCACATGCTCGCTCCGGGTGCTCCCGATGTGCACGTGTGCATCCCCATGCAAAAGTGACACACAAGAAAAGAACAATATAATTGGAGAAATGTACGCAGTAATAATAGGTATTCACAAAATGATAATTCATATTAAACAGAGTGCACAAAGTCAGCCTCATTTGCATGTTTTAGATTATATGCATTTCAAAAGTAATTTCCGCAGGGCATATGAATGACATTAATTCCCGAGCGGGTTCTGCTATAGACCTCAAACTATCAAACACTCAAACATTTAACAGATGAAAAAAAAGAGGGAGCTGGAGCCTTGGCAAGGGGAGATTTCAAGGTTAAAGTATTTGAATGTTAATTTTAAACTTCTGTCTTGGTTTGTTTAAAGTTGCTCTGCAGTCAAACTAAGAAATCAGCTTTTAACGAACCACAGATTACTTCTGTACTGTTTTTCAACAGTACGAGTGCATGTGTGTGTGTGTGTGTGTGTTTCCTGTACCAGTCCGAGAAAGACACTTTTCCTTCTAATCCATCATCATTTCCTTCCCAATGGGGCCCAGACTGGTGTGACACACTTTGTGAGTCATGTGATTGTGTCACTCCAGAGGCAGAATAACTCAATCCAGCAGAGGGAAAAGACAGATTCCAACAGACCACGTTGACTTTCGCAGACTGATAAAAGCAGGGAAGGAAAAAGTGAGAAAATGGATGCGAGAAAGGATGTGGCCGGGGAGGGGACAGGGTCAATGGGAGGAGCAGGAGACAGAGGGTTCCCTCTCCTGGTCTCCTCATGCTGAGAGGAAGACCTCAGGGCAGGAAACAGACTGGATGAATGTACGATTCCAGTGGAAAAACTTGGAATTCCACGAACAACATTCTTCTCTTATTAGGGAATCTGCTTTGCAGACATATGTCTGATAGATATACAGTCATATAGTGCCTGGACGTGCACGTCTGTCAGACAGAGACGCACACACTATCAAGATGTTGTCCACCTGTTAGTCTCGCAAGGATCTGGCAAACACACAAATGCAAAGTTAGAGATGGGGGAGGTGGGGGGAGCCAAAGGGCTCAGCATGTCTGGGTCTTGTTTGTGGTTTGCCTTCATTTGTAAACAGAGCTGCTGCTGCTGCGAGTACGTTAACATGTCATTACCTCATTACGAATTGATGGCTTTAGCACGGAGGATTCAAGCTGTTTTGTTTGTGAGCGCTCAGCGACTGATGCTGTACAAACACAACAACCGCAAAACATACACTTTCTGAAGTAGAGACCTATAAAACGCTGTTTCACAGTAACGAAGGCAGCACTTTGATGCAGTGGCGTAGTCTATGTGATACGCGGACATACGGAGTACGCCCACTAGAAAAGCTCAAGAATTTCAGTATACCCACTTAAAAGTGCCCAATGATACATGACATATCATTAGGCACGTGTCATTTATATGTTAAACGGAAGTTAAACACTTACGTAACAATCTATCTGTATGCAGCGCTTGTTTATTACATTTGTTTATCCAGTGAATTATTGTAAAATTGTGTACTTAATACTTGAACGTGTTTTGCTTTGATACCGTTTTATAAATTTTACATGTTTTTAATACAAAGCTAACTGTTGTACAAAGTTTGTTGTACATTTATTCAAACATAGGCATCAGAGAAATTTGTAAATGTTCAATATGCTTAAAAATCACAATAAATTGACGACTACATTGTACAAAGTACTAACCGGTGTACATTGGTTTCTTAACACAGTATAACCAGTACAAAAATGTAGACTACACCACTGTTTTGATGGGCATTTTCAGCACGGTCAGCCATGATTCCTCGCCTTGTCCCCAACTTTTTTATTTTACTTGCTGATGTTAAGCACTCAATGATTTGATGTAAGCAGAACTTAAGAGTTAACAGGTGGGGGGTGGGGGCATATTTTGGGCCTGGGAAACATATTTATTTTCTCACTGGTTCTTTTGCCCACTTTTCATTTATTTCCCAGCCAGTCACAGCGAATCTGTTCATCTGAGAAGAACAAGCAGCAAAGGCAAAGAGGATTAAATTCTAAGAGGCGCTGTCGTGCACAGACACACGGACCGATTTAATGTGCCACAGGGCAGCTGTGGGGTGCACGTATCGAACCAGATCTGTCTGTCTTAACTAAATGACCATCAGGGTGCAGGGCTCTCCGCTGGTCTGCTCTGCTTTATCGATACGCCGCTGCTTGGCCCTATTCAGCTGCAAAGAGCTTCCCCACGGCTGCGGCTCAACACCGGATCAATGTCACGAGGAAATGGAGACAAACTACTGCTAAACAGACCGGCCCCTGCGTGGTAGGCTCGCAACTGTACCAGCTCCCCCGGGCTCAGATCGTTCCGCTAATGGAGGCCTCCGCTGAGGCCCCCGAGGGCCCCTAACCACCAAACAGGACCCCGAGGATTCACATAAACCCCCACATCCTCTCCCTTTTTGTTACCTTCCTCATCTCTCGGCTGTTTCTCCATCCACACGTTTGTATCGACCTCCTCCTCTTTAATCAGAAATGGCACTAACACCGTCCGTTTATTTCAACTAGTGACTGCAGAAGTGAGCTCAACTGTTTGAAGTTGTAAAAACCAAACGAGGGAAAGTCTCTCTCAGCCTCTCACTGCACAGTGCTGGGATTCTTCATTACATGACTCTTGACTAGTCATTTTCCGGCATTTGTCTTCTGTAATAACACTGGTAATAGAAAGGGATGGGAGGAAAAAAGCGATGGAAAGAACCTGCATATTTGTCATTTCAGATTGTTTACTTTTTTCACGGTAAATTGATTTTTACATCTCCTGTTACTGGAAGCTTTGCGGGCTCGACTGCCAGGCCTGTCTGACTCTTGACTTGCCTGCCAAACCCATCCACGGGCTTTATGACCTGGTTCTCTGGAGGACTTTTAAGGCTTTCAAATAGCGAGCCATTTCAATGATACAATGCTGCTTTTGTCTTAACCTCCTTTGTTGTTCTTTTTTCTCTTTTTCTCACTCTCTGCTGACTCTGTCCTTTCTTTCCTGTACTTTTCATCTCTTGTTGCCAAATCCTTATTGGCCAAGCGCTGGTCATAAAGACCAGGGTCTTATTCTTGCTGTCCCTGTTTGTTTGCAGAAGTTGGATTTGTTGCATCAGGCTGAAGGAAACCCAAAGCCCTCCAGCTGACATTTAAGGCCTGCTGTGGGGCAAGCCCAGTTGAAGCTGCTACAGTTGCACTGCGGTAGCTGGGCGGTGTACTGTGGTTCAAGTCTTCCAGGATTTTGGTGGGACTGAGGTTTGCCTGAAGGGACCTCCAGTGAGCCAGGCAGCAGGCCTGAGCTAAACTGAGGACAGAGCCAAGAATAGTCCTGAGTACAGAGGGCAGGCCTAATGGTGTGTTTGCAAGGGGAAACCTAAACAAAATGGCCTGAATTGAAGGGCCGGTTCGGGCCAGATGCTGCAGAACAAAAGAAAACACACAAACACATGAAAAACATACAGCGAGGAGCAATGGCTGAAATAGACTTGCGGCAAAAGACCTGCATCTTGTTCATCCAGACCAAGGTTGGGTCATCAACCTCAGCAGAACACACGTGAGGACATCTGCTCAGAACCTCTTGGTGTGTGTTTTTGTGTGTGCGCTGCTTGTGCAAACCAAGCTTCCACGACATCCCTTCCATATTCACACTAATGAGAGAAAACGGCCAGGAAACCTCTTCTGTAATTACTCCCTGAGGAGCGAGGTTTCAGCATGGCCATGGCGCATGAACACACACACACACTTAGCACACACTCTTGCTCATAAAACACAAAAATATACAATATGATGAAACATCTGAAACAGCACGATGCTGACATTTAAGTGTGTTTACCTGTTCTGCATGGGGACACGTAAATTGTCATGATGGAAAATTTGAGGGCATCTGCTAATTAGGATTGTGTCAAACAGGTAATTGTGTGTGTCTGAGTGTGTGTGTGTGTGTGTAGCAAAAGACATTTTATAAACAAACATTAACACTATTGATGTTAGAGTCTGATTTTTTCTGCTAGAAGAAGCTCCTGTTGGTGCATGTGATTGTGTGAATCAGCAGGGTGACACTAAAATGCACATTTTATGACATCCATGAAGTCAATGGCTTTATGAATCTGCCTTTTTTGTCACACTACATCACTTCTGGCCTTTTTGGATTAAAAAATAAAAAGTCTTGAAACAATTCATAATCTGCATCGACGAAGCATCAAACTCACACACCACGTTTGCTTAAAGTACAAAAGTGCAGCAAAAACGCGACAAAGTTAGGCCCTATCTGAGAGTGAACTGTTGAAGAAGGAGTCTTTGAGGTCCACGCACACACGTGCATGCACGCTCCTTGCCCCGGTGTTTGTGGTGGCGAAGCCCAGCTGGTAACATCTGGATGTATTTTAAAACTGTTTACGTTTCCAAAATGCTGAAAAACCTGAAGAAGAGAGACAGAGCTCTGAAAAACACTGCAGGTGCCAGGAGTAATAAAAACAGGAGAGCAAAGCCTGAAATGAAGATTGTTTAAAATCTATCACAGAGGAGTCAGATTGCACACACACATACACACACACGCGCGCTTATAATGGCCAACTGGAGTCGCTGCCATGTTCTTAGTCCAACAATAACTGACATCTGGCTGCAGACGCTCCATCTGAGTTTTGTCCCTTCAAGCTTTCCATACTGGTTCAAAAGAAAACCGAGACCTGCATCTCTAGTAGTCACCAGCTGACAACCAGTCTTACGCACTCACCGCCACACACCGCAAAGCAATTTCCTCCGACACACAAACAGACGCGCACGCACACTCAAAACAGCTGCATTTCCATTTTACTTCCCCTAAATGACGAAAACACAAAAATAGTTGGATTTCATTCAGTCTAATCAAACTTGACATGGGGAACAGCTCTGGGAGATGACGTCAACGACCGAGACGCTCATGCACGCACGCACACACGCACACGCAGAGGAGTGGGAGCGTCCATAGGATGTAATTTTAGTGATTGGGTGTAATTTACCAGTGCAAGTTGAAACCAGACAGGGCAACCGGAGAGATTCGTTGCTAGATCAAAAATGAGCAATGCACATTGAGGCGGTGCACGACACACACACATACACACACAGGCCGACATAACCTGAAATTTTACTCAGGTCACAGTGGCTTTAGATGTGTTACATTAAGTGGATGTGCCTAATTTTACAAGAAACTCAAATGTGTCTCACGAAAAGTGTTCATGGGATCATTTTAATCCACATAGGTATGCCACTTTCCCATGGCCCACCATAATCCCAACACACGCACACACAAACACACAGGGGAGATTATTAAAGCAACCTCGTGGCACTTGAAGGGTTTTTTTTTTTTTTTTTTTGATGGATTTAACATCAAGCATGACTGTTAACTTTTAGGACTCAAACGACTTGGAGTGACTGCTGAGAAAAACAGAGCTCTTAGCCAGACGCTCACGGATCACATGACAACTGGGCCACAGCAGCACGGACCCCTGGGAAAAAGAAAAGGCACAGCGCCATCGCTTAGATCACAGAGCGCCAGCCGCCGCGCTGTAATGACGCTGTGCAGATATATCATATTTAGATATGAATATACCATTCATGCGCACAGAAAGTTGAAGTGGATTTGGCTTTGAATATGCACATCACAGTCAAGTGGTTAAAGGAAGAAAAAGGAGATAATCACTGTGAAATAAATTAAACCTATTAAGAGGAACGTATGCTCAAGGTGACATAAGAAATTAATTTGGCTCAACTATTGAGACCCATACCTCCACCCCGCTATAGGATTTCTACCAAACTAATTACCACACTCCACTTTCAGAAATAATAAGGAAAGTACTTAATAGGTTAGGATTCACCCCTGCATTCATATGTCCATTTAACATCCCTGCTTTTATGCCCACACACCCCTGCTTTTAATGCAATTTCACATCCACAATTTAAAGTAGAGGAAAGAATTATATTTCAAGCAGCGTCAGGATTAGAATACAGAAGCAGCGGTATTAAAAATCTGGTTTCCGTGTGTGTGCGCCAAGTGTTTCGGAGCGGCTGAAGAGTTAAAGATGTTAAATGTTTTTTTGTCGCAGTGAAGTACAACTGAGAAATTACAACAAAACCCACAGATCTGTGATTAGTCTTCTCTCGCTGTATATTAATATTTTCCCCCTTTTCTCTGTTTGAAGCTGCTTAGAAGTTTAATTTTTAAACAGACTACAGATAGGAAAAGACCCCCCCCCAAAGTGCACACTCCTGCTTCAGCATCAGACGTCTGTTTATCTAGTCAGCAATTCGCTCCAATTAGAACAACTTCCACATGCAACTATTTCAGCTCAAACATATTTTTAAATTTAAATTACTTTTTTGTTTTTTTTATCCCCTAACTTAGCAGAGAATTAACATTTTACCTGCCCTCCTGAGGCTAAAATGTATATAGGGCAAAGTCAAAAGGCCTCTTTTGTTCATTAACAATGCAGCACAAGTTACGCAAAACCTAAAAATAAATAAAAAAAATAGGACATGTCCTTTTAAACTATGATCGAGATTGTGTTTTTACATGAATTTAAATGCAATTAACTTTAATTTTTGCATTTCTGAATTTTTTTTTTTTAAATTTTTAATAGCTTTGTTTTTTTTTAGCTTTATGCAGTTTGTCCCTGCCACCATAATACCCATTCGTTGAACCAATCAGCTGATATTTAACTTAAAAAGTAGATGACAGACAGACTGTCAGAATAAAACAAAGGATTTAATATTCAAAAGTAAATCAAAGATATTTGCTTGCTTCGGAGCTTTTGTAGTTTGTAGATTACAATTTTCATCTTGTCTTCTTTTTCTTTTAGACGAGTGAGTGAGAGCAAAAACACAGAGGAAGAAATAAATGGTATTTATTTACGCTAATGGGAAACGAACTTAAACGAAAACGAGAACTCGAGAAAGTAATGTTGCTTTGGAGCAAAAATGGCTAATTGGGAAAAAACAAGAAAGATCCAATGCTGAAACAAGGATTAAAATCAAAAAAGTACATTTATACTTTTATTGTTTTCCTCTTGTTTATCCGTTCCTTCAGTTCATCCACTGTTTTAAACAGACGAGAGCTCTTTTTTCCAAACTGTGTTTGTAACGATGGCTCCTTTTGCCTTTGCAGTAACATTAGTATGACTATTGAAACAACATGTGGCCCACACTGCACACACACACACACACACACACAGGTATTTGGTGGCCTTTTAACCTTTGAAAATGATGTAAAATGAATGCTCATAACAGCTATGCAGATAAAACTTATCGGAGGCAGGTAGCAGAATTAGTTGAGTTAAGATAGCATCAGTGCATGGCTCCTTTCACTATCAGTGACCAGCGCAACAACCTACATGGACACTGGGTGGGCTGCTCTAATAATTCAAGACAAATGTATCTGCTGTTCAAAATGCATGCAGCGGCCTGTAACAATTAGATGCACAGCTTCTGCCCAGTACAGCACCTCACCAGAAACTTTTATTATACAGAGATACCCATCACTTAGATTAAACTCTGATTCTCCTTCTGCGGTAAACGCACACCCTGACACACAAAAGCCTCGTTTTAACACACAGAAATAGCAGCACATTATAAAAACAGCCCTGTCACTCGCTGATCGGTATCAGGACAAGTCAAACTGCGATAAAGTCACTCTACAACTACGGCAATCGATGGAAGTAATTTATTTACCTCACAAGGCAATTTCTGCTCTGTCTTCAGAGAGGAGGCGAGAGGGAGGGAGGAGGAGGAGGAAGGAGGAGAGGAAGATTTGGCAAGCATATGTGAGCCGTGTGTAAATTAATTTAGCAGCAGTGAGATCCAGAGCCATGTATGAGTCCATAAAACAAGAGGAGGTTAAAGCAGCTCACATCATGCACACACACACACACACACATGCATGCATCAGGCAATGGTCCAACACCAAAACCACTTCTTCCAGAGAGCGAGAGAGACACACAAGATGAGTGACGTCATCTCTGTTCCATAAGTGTGATGTGTCCTCCCGGGTTGGCACTAAAAAAACGGGGAAAAATAAAAGTTAAGGAGTTCTTTCTTATCTTTTTTTTTCATGCTTTCTCTTCATTCAGAGGCAAAACACACACACACCAGAGAGAGGCCTGTCCATGGTCCTTGACTTCAGCTCAGTGAAATAAAAGGCACTTAACTAAGCCTCGGTGATCGATACAAACACTGCTGCTGGCTGGTTTTCACACACGTCCACACACACAGGCAGACACACACTTACCCTGCCTCCTCAGATGCTCATGCATATGCATGTTCATTGTGATTTATGCATCCTGGCTGGGGTGGGGGGTGGGGGGTGAGCCTATCTGAGAGCAAGGCCAAAGCACAGGTCAACTCATTTGTAAATTAGTTGCCTATTTATGAATCTGTACATACGAGTGTATATGTGCACATCCGTCGATGTTTGCGTCTATAAATCGAGGCGCGTGCAGAAGTGAGCGGAGGTCAACCTCAAAAAGAGGCTCATAATCACCGCCGCGTCTTCATTTCTTTAAATGTATTGAATTATTTCAAGCTTTTGGTCTTGGTGTGTGTAAATCACACAAGTTCTCCACAATGAGTTGGTGTCTGTCCACAATGTGTGCATGTGTGTGTTCCCGGTCTCGTCCACTTCTGCCAGCGTGCACTTTGACCCCACTCTTTGCTACAGGAAGTCACCCAGCTTGGTGACCTTTCTTATTATTACACCCAGGGTAGGTGGAGGGGAGGCGTCCTCAGAAAACACCTTCCATCAGAGAAGCTGTCAGTTGATGGGGTCCCTACGGTTACTTCTCTCCTGTATGCACTGCATTATGGGTAAAAAAAACAAGACTCCACCTGAAGAGGTGTTAGGGGTTAAACATGCTATAATTTGTGGCATAATCTGAGAACATCACCTTCTGCACGCATGAAGCAGGGATATAAAAAAAACTGTGTGCACTCCTTTGTGGATATTCAGTGGTTTTGCTCCTCCCACCTCCTCTGAACAACAGATTTGGGCTAATAGGGCAGCTGCATGTCCCTCCTCCTCCTAAACCCTTCCACCCCGTCTTCCCTTACAAAAAAAATCTAGAAGAAAGCCCATATTTTTTAAAGCAGACATGAATGGAAAAGTTAAGACTGTTCAGTTGTTCTTTCTAAAATTGTTCAAAAGACTTGACTTTTAAAAAAAAAAGATGCAAATGAAGGGAAAAAAAAAACGTGTTTCAAAAAAGCAAGGAAAAAAGAATCCTCGCATTAAACGGCCGGCAACAATAGCTCTAGTTAATACATTGGGTAATACTTTTGATAAACCACAGCTAGTGGGTGAACATACAAATTCGAAAACAAAATAAAACGTTGCACGCTGTTGCAGCACAGAATAAAAAAATAAAAATAAGTCTACCAGGGGAAAGAGTATCGAGATAAAACGCCTCAAACACACACAACCAATCCCTTGTGGAGTGTGTAAACGAGCTCATGGAGATGCTTCAATAGATTGTAAACTACCGGTACTGTGTGTGTGTGTGTGTGTGTGTCCAATGCACGAGACAGCAGGGTTTGACCCTTGTGTGTGTTCTTGTGTCTGAAAGTGTTACTTTGTGTGAACGTGTGTAACTTGAGCCAAACTGTAAGCCATATGCCACTTTAATGCTGATGCCAGACCCCCCCCCCCCCCCATTTGTACCAGCCATGCACGGCACACACATGCCCTCTCATAAACACACTGGCACGTACCCACGCAAGCTCCCCCGTATAAAAAGCGAGCCCCTCCACTTCATTAGGAAAGTAAACACAAGTGCTGTCTGAAGTGGCTAATTAGAGACTAATTACTCCCTGCTCGTTACTAATGCAAATTAGATTATGCTGCTTAACTTCCTCGTGTCCACAACGCGGCTGTTAATTGAGGCCTTTTGAAATTAAATTACCCGCTAATTAGCATATCAAAACCATTAATTCTGAGCAAAGAGGAGGGGGGGAAAACAACAACAAATGCCAAGTTTTGCTAATGAGTTTTGCTAATTGAATATGTGCGCTCATTGCAAGGCGTTTGTGCCAGGAATACCTATTCAGCTGATCAGCTGGTGTGGGTCTGCGTGTGTGTGAGCAGCCGGGAAGAAACTGCATCATAAGAGCGACATATAATTAAAGGAGCTGTTCCATCTCTCCAAATGCTTTGTCAATATTTCCCTCTGAACGCGCAGCTCCACTGATGTTCAGCGCGCAGGGAGCGAGGGATACAGAAAGGGAGAGGCGTGTGAGAGGGGATGGATGTTCATCTCATGAGAAGCTGAAGAGCCACTGGATGTGATGTGTGTGCATGTGTGTGTGTTATAGTAGCATGTGAGCTCGGTTTGTCCAGACTGTAAGCCTCCTTTGAAGTTAAGAACCTTATCTCTCTGATGCTGTGCAAAAGCTCTGGACCCCAAGCCGGCTCTGTCTTTGTGGTCCCTTCTCACTTACAAAACCTGTCCAATTAGGAAAACACACACACACAAACTCACACACGCTCACATGCATTTTACAGCCTTTTGCAAAGAAATCTGATCTCCACAATTTCGTTTTGTTCACATGATTTCAAACTTTTCAGTGAGCTTATTTACAATTTGAGCTTTAAACAAGGAAATGCAAAAGACGAGGAATGATTTGGCCGATTGATCTGGTGACTGAATACTTAAACCATTCATATAAAGATCTTATTTAAGCTTTAAATGTAAAACGAGCAAAAAAAAATGTGATTTAGGACAACGCTTCTTTACGTTTCCTAAACATCCTTTGAAAATCCCCACCTTATTGAAGTTTCAGCTTATTACTTTTTTCCAGCTCTCATTTCATTAGCCGTGTAATGGCAGATGAAAAACAGAACTGGTAAAATTGAGAGGTAGCCATACAAAAAAAAAAAAAAAAAATCATGATAATTAGATGTAAAGATATTATAATTCTTTTAACGTGATGCATAGAAACTGCTGCTTGACAATATTTGCCCTAATTGCTGGAATTATCATATTAACTAGTTACCATTTGGGTAAGTCGATTAAAAAAATTGATTATTCGTCTATTTCTTTTAGGACTTTCTTAATCAAAATCTAACATCCTTGAAAAATTAATTTGAAGCCGTTTCTTATCAGTTAATTAAATCGGGTTGGAAGTCTTTTTTTTTTTTCTCTCGTTCGAGCCGTGATTAGAACGGTTCTGTTCTTTTCTGTTCAGACACCATGACGTTCGAGGGGGGAACTTTTCACTGTCTCATCAAACATTCACAACCACAAGAATAGGACTTCTTTGAAGGGCCTGCCGCCTTTTTTTCTTCCTCTTTTTCCTCCAAACCTCTGCTTTTCTGATAAATTGTGCCATACCCAATGGATCTTTCTCTCTCGTTAACACATTCTCATTAACGTACAGAGAAAGCGAACGGAGAGGGGAGGAGGGGAAAGGGGGAAGAGAAAAGAACCGGGTGCTGAGGGGAGGTGCACTTGGGGGGGGGGGGGGGGTTTACATGAGAGGTGGGAAGAATAGGGCAGAGAAAAGCTGAATCAATGGCAAAGATAAAGTCAAAAAGAGAAAGGAATACACTGACAAATTTTAGTATTCAGTGATGAAACATAAATAGAAAGATAACACACACACAGACGCACAACGTTGCCTAGGTGACAGCCTTGGGATGACCTGAGACTAAACAACTAGCCAGGAGCCAAAGCAAGACCTGCTGTTCACTGAAAGTCCACCCAGAACCATCTTCCCTGTGTCTCATTGAATCCAGATGTTCTGAGAGCCGAACATCAGCATTTCATCAGATCTTCATGATGGACGCAACTTTCACCTAATTCTTCATCAATGTTCAGCCTTAAAAAAAAAAATGATATATCAGATCTTGACGTGCTCCTCCGAAAAATAGCTTTCTATTCCTGGAATAAGACTAATTACGTAGCCACGCCCCCTGGGAGAGAACACCCCGCCACTCACCCCCACCCACCCACCCCCGTCCTGAAGGGGAGACGGAGACAGCCATTGGCATCAGTGGAGTATAACTTTGTCTTTTTCGCTTTTCCAGCAAGCAGCAGAGCAGAACAGATACAGTGCACTCCACTCTTCTGTCCATCCCAGACTCCTTGGGGAGGAATGGGAGGATTGGAAGGAGTGAAGGGGGAATGGGTGGGGGGGTCAAAAGGAAAATCAGTGAGGAATAAGAACAGTGTGACAAGTCTCTCTGATTGGATAATGAATTGAATGATTACAAGAGCCTGGCTGGTAAGGTTGGGCAGAAATCTCAGTTCATCAGCCAGGCAGCCCGCTCCCTCATCAACCAATCAACACCCCCCCCCCCCCCCCCCCCCAAAAAAAAAAAAAAAAAACTGGTTCCAGTCTTTTTCTGAATTTTCTTCCATCTTTCTGTCTATATTTTTTCCTCCTGCAACACATTTAGTCGGTCTTTGCTACAGCTGCCCTCGTCTCTCTCTGGGAGACAGAGAATTCTCAAAGCCACAATTACCACACAGAACTATCAATTTCCCCTTCAATTAACCCTGTGGGAAGAGAGGGGACGACGGAGAGCAAGGGGGGGAGCGATGAAGGGAGGAAATGTTCAAATCTGGAATAAAGATGGCCACCTCAGTCCGGCCACCCAACCCTCTGGTGCGTCCCACCTTTAGGGTACAGTCATGTGTTGGTGGGGGGGGGGGGGGGGGACAACACTCCGGGATGAACTCGACCCCGACATCAGAGGCTGAACAAGTTACAATACAGCATGCCCCCC